TGGATGCTGGACCCGTGCCGCACGCTGCTGCACCTGCTGGAGGACATGCCGTCCTGCCGGCCGCCGCTCGACCTGCTCTGCGAGCTGCTCAACCGGCTCCAGCCGCGCTACTACTCCATATCGTCCAGCTCTAAGGTGAGCTGAATCGTCCGCTACTACTCCATATCGTCCAGCTCTAAGGTGAGCTAAATCGTCCAGTGTCACTCCATATCGTCCAGCTCTAAGGTGAGGTATATCGTCCGCTACTACTCCATATCGTCCAGCTCAAAGGTGAGAAATCAGTGTCTCCATATCGTCCAGCTCTAAGGTGAGCTAAATTGTCCGCTACTACTCCATATCGTCCAGCTCAAAGGTGAAAAATGTTTGCCAGTTTCTCTCCATATCGTATAACGATCTCTGATCATTGAGCCCTCAGCGCCAGTTGTCCCTCCCTCAACCGCCAGCTGCCGCGCTCCGCCGGACCCCGCTGACACCCCCCCCCCCTCCCCCTCCCCCAGGTACACCCGACGCGGATCCACATAACGTGTGTGCAGGTCAAGTACCAGACGAGCACGGGCCGCACCAACCGGGGCGTGGCCACCACCTGGCTGCTCGGCCACAAGACCAGCGACCGGGTGCCGGCAGAGGGCGAGCCGCCGCTGCCCATGGACGTGCGCGTGCCCTGCTTCGTCAGAAAGTCCCAGTTCAGGTGGGGTACACTTCTGCGGCGGTGGAGTGGACCGGGCTGGGTCAGAAAGTCTCAGTTCAGGTGGGATACACTACTGCGGTGGTGGAGTGGACCGGGCGGGGCGCAGGGCGCGGCGGTGGATGTTTTAGCGCATTATTGGATCAGTTCAGTGAACTGATGTGGCTTTATTTGTGATCTGCGATGACATCCATACTACGAGTCCCCACCACATAAATCGGCACAGTTACATAGTTAGGTCGGGTTTTGCAGCCGTTCTACATTTCCGATCGCTTGTGTTCGTGTGTTTTCTGAATGCCCTGACGTCCCGCCTGCGCCCTACCATACCCTGACGTCTCGCCTGCGTCCCCGTCCGTCAGGCTGCCGTCGCGCTCCACCACGCCGGTCATTATGATCGGCCCGGGCACCGGGTTCGCGCCCATGAGAGGATTCATCCAGGAGCGAGCTTTCCAGAAGGAGCAGGGCAAGGAGGTGAGGCGGAGAAGGATAGGGAGAGAATGAGGGAGACGGAAGTAGATAGAATTAGAGAGGGAGAGGGAAGATACGGAGTAGGGACTGAGACGGACCGCGGAGAGGCAGATCCGGCCCACCAAGGCCGACGGCCGACCACTCCCGGACCATAGCACGTCCGTGAAGGGACTGTATTTGTGTGGAAAGGCATATCGGGAAACATATCTGAGCAAATAGGTAACACTTCTGTCGGCGTGCTGAATGTTTACTAAGTACGTGTTGTGATGCAGTAATCATATGTCAGGCGGAAGGAATGATGTAGTTTCATATCTTTAAGAATCCGGAGTTAATTTGGTATATGCAGAGCAAGCGTCTTACGAAATGATAATGCTCTGAGCCAAAGTGTTATGATGGTAGAAATAAAAATGTTATCAAAATAACTAAACAGACAGGTGAAAGCATTTTCGCAGAATTCGCTATTGCTGAGCCTTTTGCTCCGACTTATCATGTAAACAGCTATGTGAATGTATAATTGTATCCTGTTGGTCGTTGGTATCGCTCCGCCATCCGATCCGACGTCCCTCTGACTGCCCCCCCCCCCCCGCGGTCGCAGGTGGGGGAGACGTGGATGTTCTACGGCTGCCGCCACAAGGAGGAGGACTACATGTACCGCGAGGAGCTGGAAAAGTACGAGGCGGACGGCGTCATCAAGGTACGGTACCGCTCTGTAGGTACCGCTCTGTATCGCTCGGTACCGCTCGGTACCTCCCACCTCCACCGCTCGCTTCCGCTGGGATCCGTCCAGTGTTTGGTGCGCAGATGAACAGACGAATCTCTGTACGGGACCAGTTTAACCGTGAACGGAGATCGAGACGTTTTACCCTCCGCGTGAGGACACACCGATCATATTCTGAGCAGAGCTGGCACAGTGTCCCAGACTGGCTATATGTATTCGAGTAGTAAAGGAATCTTGTATGTATTCCACTTGCTATATTTGTGTGGTTAGCAGCTTAGTGATAAGTCTTCCCTTTGACGTTAAACGTTCATGTTGTTCTGTTCGTCTGCTGTTCAATTCATCCGATACTTTCCGTTGTATCTGTGATCGGAGGAAACGGTGGCACCATGTCCGAGGAAATGGCGCTGAGGGTACAGAGAGCCGTCCTGTGGCACTGCTTTTCGCTGTTGTGTGCTGAGCCCCGAACTGCAGCTGACTCCTCTCCTCTTCCGGCAGCTGTCTGTACCGTACTGACTCCCACCCTCTCCCCTCAGCTCTCTGTGGCGTTCTCGCGCGACCAGGCGCAGAAGGTGTACGTGACCGCTATACCGTACTGACTCCCACCCCCTTCCCGCAGCTCTCAGCGGTGTATCTGTACCTTACTAACCCGTCTCCCCCTCCCCTCAGCTCTCTGTGGCGTTCTCGCGCGACCAGGCGCAGAAGGTGTACGTGACGCACCACCTGAAGGAGCACGCCGCCGACGTGTGGCGCCTGCTGGGCCAGCAGAACGGCCACGTGTACGTGTGCGGCGACGCCAAGTCGATGGCGCGCGACGTCAGCCACCTGCTGACAGATATCTGCCGCGACCAGGGCGGCATGGACGCCCAGCAGGCCGACCAGTACATCAAGACCATGCGCAGTCAGAAACGCTACTCGGAGGACGTCTGGAGCTAGGCGGGCCGAGGGACGGACCGGCGGACCGGACTGGGAGGGATCAGAGGGACGAGAGGGCCGCGCCGGGACCCCGAGAGGGACGGGAGAGAGGGGGCGGGTCCGCGGACTGGTGCAGAGAGGTCGACAGTCAGGGCAGCGCGCAGGTGGCGCCACCCGATACAGGCGGCGGGGTGGCGAACTACTATCATGGAGCAGCAATGTGCCAGAGGCGCTAGAAATTTGACTTTGTAATGCATGTTATATGGAAACAGAAGATAGGTATATCCTGACGGCGCGATTTTAGGACGACGTTGGAACCGGCATGACCCATATTTTAATGTGCGAGGTTGATTTTCAGCATGGATTTTCCCTCGTTTTAGAGAATGTCTATTGAGTATGTGTCGTCTTGTTTCGTCGCTCGAGTGCTGGCCTGTATTGTGTCTGGGACACGGTCAGGGATGGGTCCAAATGAGCCAGTGAGCTTTAGCACGTGGCGTTTCAGCTCAGCCGGCGCGCGGGGTGGCCAGGGACCAGACGGTGGCTGGCCTACCCAGCCACCCTGGACCTCCACCGTCTGAATCGGTCGGCGAGGTGCTCCGGTCGGGCCGCCGTCTCACACCGGGCACACCTGTCGTTGTTTTCTACATTGGGCGACGTTAGTGAGCGTGAGCGGCCGGGCCCGTGAGCTCTGTATCGTGTTTGTATGTCTGTGTGTGGTGTGCGCGGCGGGTGGCGCGGGCCGACTCTCCCCTGTCTGTCGGTGGGACCGGCCCTCCCCTGTCTGTCGGTGGGACCGGCGCTCCCCTGGCGGGGCCGCTGGGCCGGCCGGCCGGCACCGCGCTCCCGCCGTCACACAGCAGTTCACCGAGCCGCCTGTTATGTGGTGTCCGAAATTACCATAATATACGCGATATGTTACGGACAGTGGTTTTGGTCGGGAGGAGGAGCAGCCGGCGACTTTGTGTTATTACAGAGAAGGGTTTTGGCGGGGGCGGCAGCTGTCACAGGCGGTCAGGCGGAGTCGGCCACGGCCACCGTCTCGCAGCGCCTGATAGCTCGATCAGCAAGGCGAGGGACATTTCGCTGTCATTGGCCGTGAAGCAGTCGGTAAAAGTAAAAGTCTTCCCGGCTCCAGAGACCTCGCCTTTTCCAACACCCGACCGTAAAAGTTATTCCAAGAACCTCTTACATTCTCAACGCTGTCTTCTCGAGCAGCGCCCGTGTCAACCGGAAAACTCAAAAGCCGGAGCCAGGCAAGTTCCAAGTACTTTTCGGCTGCACGACTTATGAATATTTAGCAGGCACTCGGTACTTACAATCCGCTCAGCAGTCTTACTGCCGTGCTCGGGTTTCAGGCGTTCTGCACTGGAGACCGGGGTGCAGACTCGCTGGATGTGCTGCTTTTATTACTCATGCAACAACACTGCAGGCAAGAGCGGGAAAAGACCGAATTGTATGGTGAGGGTATTTTGCAAAGTAGGTACATAGAAAGCTTACATATATTCTTTCATAAGGAGGTAAGAAGCCACGCGATATTCGGGTCACCTCTGCCGCTTCCGGCGGCATGAGCCTATGGGGATGGCATTTTCTTTTTCAATTCGGGTAAGTGTGTCAGAGGGCTTTATGTATTTTGAAACTATGTTAATCGGCTTTTCAAGCAATGTTGACATGATTTTATGCGCCTTGCTTTTGGTATGATGCCGCCGTGTTCCACAGTGGGCAGTGGCTGGCGCTGTGCCGCCGACGCTCGGCCGTACCGCCGATCGGGCCACGCCCGACTGCAGTCTGTCGGCCCAGCCAGTCGACTGGCCGAGGTCGGCCCGTCCCAGGGGCGGCGGGCACGGGCGCCGGCGGGCACGGCTACCGTTCCCAGTGAGGACGGCGGCAGCCAGGCCCATCGGCGGCACCTCCCGTTACCAGCGCCGCTGCAGATAGGTACCGCGGCGAGCTGGGCGCGCCGGCAGTGCGGCGCCGCCGTCCCCGCCGAAATGTGGGGCAAGGGCAAGGTCTGGCGGGCCGGCGGCTCCTGCGGCCGTCCCAGGGCCGGGTCAGCGGCCGGCTGACGGCGGCCACACCGCTCCACACGGCCCGCCGCCGCACCGCAGAGCCATTTCGTAACGCAAGGCCGCCGAGTCGGCTTTCACTGCCGCGCCAGCCGGGCCAGCCGAGCCGCCTGCTGGAGCCGGCCGGCCGTCATCGCCGCGTGAGATCCGCGCAGATCGGAAAACGGTGTATTTCGTCTGACAAAAGGCGAAGAGCAACAGAAAAGGTCGATGTACCGGGCTGAGGGAGCGCGCGCAGACGGCGGTACGTACATCGCGGCATAGAGAACGGGCGGCGGCGCACACTGCACGCGACCCGAGCGGCGCCGACTGCCGGCGTACAGACAGCCATCCGTCGCCTCACAGGGATGTGGGTTTGTACCAGCTGAACGATAAAGATCGGCCCGCGACCTCCCGGCAGCCGCCAGAGCGAGACAGATAATTTGGTAGTCACGACCCAACGGACACGACGGCGACAATCAAATCTGTTAGCGATGGACAGAGAGCCCGTGCTGGGCTCGGCCGGGCACCGCACACAGCGAGGGCGCGCCAGAAACTCTGCTACTCTGCGACACCAGCACCCATCTACTCGGAGCTAGGGGCGCCAGTCGCCCACACTACGCAGCATCGCGACTACCACCGAGACCCCTCTACCGCCGAGACCCGCAGCGGGCACCGCCGACAAACCACTCGGCCCGCGCGGTACCGCTCACACAACTCACTCACTCACACCGAGCAGCGTACGACGAGAAAAATACACTAACGACACGGCCCCAACCCGCCTCCGAGCCCGCCTACCAACGCAACGTGGGACTGAAACACACCTGACGCACAGGTCTGACGCACGGTACACGGGTCTGATGCACAGTACACGGGTCTGACGCACGGTACACGGGTCTGACCCACGGTACACGGGTCTGACCCACGGTACACGGGTCTGATGCACGGCTCACGGGCCTGACGCACGGTACACGGGCCTGACGCACGGTACACGGGTCTGATGCACGGCTCACGGGCCTGACGCACGGTACACGGGCCTGACGCACGGTACACGGGTCTGATGCACGGTACACGGGTCTGATGCACGGTACACGGGTCTGATGCACAGTACACGGGTCTGACGCACGGTACACGGGTCTCACCCACGGTACACGGGTCTGATGCACGGTATACTATGCACAGGTCTGACGCAAAACTTGATGAAAATATCGGCGGCCCACGTGTGGCTCCGTCGCCAGTCGTAGCTCGCCGAGCGGAGAGCCGCGCCGCCCGCTGGAGGCAGCGGCACGTGAACACCGCGACAGCAGATACATGTTCGTGAGCACACCCTTCAATTCGCCTAACAATATAAAATACCCAAACATCTTTGGCTCGCAAAAAGGAAGCAAGATGTCGATAATTTTACAACCATAACATTGGTCCAAGAAGAGGGCTTCAAAATATCGCACCTGTGACGATACGTTTCTTGCTAGGGCCGTTATGTTATGCAACATGAACTCGTGACCAGCATACATGCATCCAAATATCAATCAAGAAATCCTGGATCATTATGTAACACCATGTCATCACATTCCTTCACAGCTCCTGTCCATTGTAGACCGCCGGAGGGAGGGGCGGGGCTGGGTGGGTAGCCCGGCCCCAGCAGAGCCGGAGCGGAGTGCACGGTCACTGTCACTGCCGCGGCGGGACCCGAGCGGGCGGAGCACGCGGCGGGCCCGCACTCCGCCGGCACACGGCTGCTCTGTTCACCCGCGCCGGCCGCTGCGTGTCTCCATCGCCGCACCGTCACGGCGACCTCAGCCCGCAGAGGCCGGCGCGCCGCTGCCTCGGACACAGAGCCCGCCGGCCCACCGTCCCACACTGGCGGCACGGGGCCGGGCCGCTGGTACCGGCCCGTGCCGGTCCGCTCGGCCCTTCACAACACATCTCACTACCGCGCACAGACGCCGATCCACAGAAAAATAAGTACGTCTGTCTGACTGTCTGGGAGGGAGATCAGCTCCCGCGGACTGCATAGCTGGCCGCCCGGCGGCCGGGGCGCGTCGGCCGCGCCTACGCCTGGAGTTCGACCCAGCGGGCGGCGCCGCTCTCCACGAGACGCTGGTTGACCAGAGTGATGGCGTTGTTGCCGTACTGAAACGGACGTCAGCCGGGCGTCAGAGCGGTGCACTTTCCCGCTCGGCCGGCGGCGGAACGAGGAAAGGCAGCGGCGGCGGCCGGGTCACGGGTCACGGCGGACCGTCACGGACCGGTTATACCGCGCCACCGGAACCGGGAGACACGGACACCAGGCAACTGCACAGACCGTGCAGTGCGACACGAGCACAAGGTAACTGCAGGACGGTACGGTACGGTACGGACCAACGGCAGCACAGACGGTACGGAACTGACTGTTGACCAACGACGACACGGAGAAATAGAAGAACGGTTCGAACAAATGACAGACACGGACAAACTCCACAAGACAACACGTAAAAACACTGGTACAAACATTAGTCACAACGCTACGGACAACGCAGATACCAAAACACAACACGGAACAAGCAGTAGTGCGGCACAATATGGACAACGACAACACCGGCACCACGCGCCATGACGCGGGCGGACAAACAAGGCAGGAAACCAAACTGGTTCGAGCCGGTAGAACAGCGCTTAACCCTATTCCTGGCGGGCTCCGCCGGGACAAGAAACTGGCGGGGGGGGGGCCGATTCGGCCCCCCCCCCTGAGATCTCGAGAACGAAGCAAGATAGCGACAAGCGGTAAACGGCATCGGATATGCACGGCCAAGATCTACAATTTTTACTAAGGTCATTTTCAGGTCAGGTCAAAGATGACGTCACAGGGGTCGAAAAAGTCAAAATGGCGGCGCTAGATTTGGAGAGTTTTTCTCGAATAACTTTCGAATTAGTCAAGATAGGAACAAACTAAGGGCATCATCGTGATCCTCTCGTCAATCCGCATCGAATGATGTATATGTTGACCTCGAAAGGTCAAGGTCAAAGGTTGACCTCAGGTCACGTGACCTCGAGGTCATCATGTATATCATTCGATGCGTCTTGATGAGCTGAACGCAATGAGACCATCCACGCGTCTGTATCTTGTTCCTGTACGGAGTTATTGGCCAAAAACCTTTGGTGACCTTTGATGACGTCACATGACCTCACAGCTGCCCAACAGCAAAACAGACCTCAAGGTAGTGAAGGTTGATCGTATATGAAGTCATGTATGGTATATGGGGCCATTCCGACCCGTTTTAGTGGTAAAAACAGGGAGTTGATTTTTCCCCCATTGACTTATAATGGGGAGGTCGCGAAATTGACCTGACCTTAGGTCACCGATATCAAAATTCCGAGATATACAAATTGCCCATACTGGTACCCTAACTAAACCCTGAACAGAAGAAATTGATCGGTCAAAAACTCTAGCTCTGGCGTGATTGCAAACTTTTCTGAGGTAGGGTCACCAAACCGCCTCTGGTGACCTGACCTGAGGTCAGATCAACTCAAAATTTTCAGACATGTTGCGTAGAAGCCTTTTAGGAAAAGTCAGAAAATTTGAGCTTCCTAGCTCAACGCGTTTGGGAGAAATAACCAAAAAAACCTCAGGGGGGGGGCTCCTGAGGCCCCCCCCCCCCCCCGCCAGGAATAGGGTTAAGCGATTCGTCGATCAATCAACTGAGATTGCGTGTCGTAATGATAACGAGCTCATTGACATGAAATGGCCAGCCATTAGAGCGCTCGTTAGGGCCGATATTCGGCGAACAGTACCGCGGCGGGCTCAGCGGCGCCGGGCCGTCCACCTACCTCGGTGCCCTGGATGCTGTAGAGGTTGACGAAGGGCGTGCCGTCCTCGGCGTAGCCCACCACCATGGCCTCCAGCGCGCGGTCCGTGATCAGACTCTCGAACACGGCGCCGGCCTCCAGGCTCCAGCCGTCCTCTGCCACACAACAGGGGACCGGACATAGTGACACACGGCGCCGGCCTCCAGCCGTCCTCTGCCACACAACAGGGGACGGGACATAGTGACAGACGGCGCCGGCCTCCAGCTGTCATCTGCCACACAACAGGAGACCGGACATAGTGACAGACGGCACCGGCCTCCAGGCTCCAGCCGTCCTCTGCCACACAACAGGGGACGGGACATAGTGACAGACGGCACCGGCCTCCAGGCTCCAGCCGTCCTCTGCCACACAACAGGGGGGGACCGGACACATTGACAGAGTTGGAGACCGGACCGGGGGACACCGGATACTGCCTTTTTGGTGAAAATATACACCAAAGGGTGTGACACGACACAGTAATTAAAGTTCAAACCTATCACTGGGGGACTGAAGACACGTCCCCAGCGATAAACCCACCCGGACCCCGTCGCGGCCCCTCCCGGGCCGATCAGCCGGCGGCACCCACCTGAGACGGGCATGACGTTGGCCAGGTAGCACTCCTCGGCCTGGAAAGGCAGCGACATGAAGTCGGTGCGGATCTGGCGGGCCAGCGCGGCCGGCAGCCGGCTGTAGCCGCCAAAGTCCATGAAGCGCACGTCCATCTCGTCCGAGTCGGGGTAGTAGGCCACCACCTGGGCGCGGTACCAGCCGCCGGCCACGGGCGCCGCGCAGATCGACGAGGCCACCACGGGTCGCGGCAGCTCCGGCGTCGAGCCGCCGTCGCCGTAACAGGCGGCCATCAGCGTGGTGAGCCGCTCCAGGCCGCGGAACGTCGGGTGCGTGTGCTGCTGCAGGAACAGCTGGCCGGCCGTCACCACGGCCGACACCAGCACGTCGCAGGTGACGCCCTGCGGCAGGTGCAGCTGCCGGAGGACGAGGGGGCGGGGGGGGGGGGTCACAGACACGGCGGGTACAGCGCCGAGAGACAGGCAGGGGTCTGGGGGGCGGGATCCAGAGCACCGGTATGGATAAACAGTCAGCTGTCCAGGGGAACGGCATCCAGGGAGTACGGCACGACCCCGACTCACAGCGCTGGTCTATTTATATCCCTCGCGGAAAACCTGCGCCGTAATGCCTCATCACCCTCTCGGCGGGCGTGGGCGCGCTGTGCGGTGCACGACTCGGGCACCGCTCTGACTCGGCCGGACAGCGCGGCACGGCTGAGCGCGGCAGTTTGTTTGGGGTACAGGGTCCAACCGCTACTCTCGGCACACAGCAGCTGCCGCGGGTAACGTGATTCACACCACCAACCCGACACTTATAGAAAACTAGCAATACACTTACATCAAACAGTCGCTTAAAAAAATACGGAACATTTCTAACATAGCAGTGGAAAAAGGGCCCCTGTGTTCGTTCCCCGCCCACCTGCTGACTGTCGGGCACGGCCAGCGCCTGCTCGCTGGGACGATTCAGCTGCTCCAGCGTCATCGCCGGGAACTTGTTGACGGGAAACTTCTCCCGGATCAGCTTCAGGCAGGCGTCAATCTCCGACTGGGTCCCTGCCACCGTCAGACAGACGCGTTAGTGGACCCATCGGATACCGACTGTCAGTGGAACCACCGGATACAGAGTCTCTACGACCGTCAGTGAGCCCAATGGATACCGTCACACAAACACGTCAACGGACCCGAATGATACCGACCGTCCGCGGGTAATTAGTCTGCAGACAATACGAGGGTCGGCAGCGCGCTACCTTTCTTCTAATGGTTCATAGAACGGCGTCAGTACGTGCATTTGAAGCGATTTGGCGGACAATACACCCGGCAAAAACTCGACCAAGGACCCTGCCTAATATGACCGGCTACTGCGCTAATGCATATTCGGGACAGTAAACCACCTAGACCGGGTCCCGGGAGCTCCATGACAGAGCATGAGTGAGACGGCAGTGCTTACACAATGTAATCGCGTCCATCCTGATAGCGCCGGCCGCTCGCCGGGGCGGTCCGAGGCCGCCACCGGTGACCGACATTTACCGGAGCCGATATACAGGGCCACACACACACACACACAGTTCACAGCGGCCCGGCCGTCCACTCACCATCCACGGAGCAGATCTTCACCGACGACTTGACCGGGTGCAGCCGGATGATGACGTGCGCGCCCGTCCGCGCCTTCAGCATGTTGACGAAGGTGCCGTTCTTGCCGATCAGCCGGCCGCACAGTTTCTGTGCCCCCGGGCACACGGTCACATATGGCAGTTATCGGAGGCAACCAGGGCGCAGTTTGGGCGCAGTACGCAGAGGGGCAACGACACGGAGCTGCGTCCTACATACAGTCTGACATGTTTACTTAGACAACAGGTCGAATTCCCGCCAGGCATGAGTCGCACCGAGCACCACACGCAAGGCTGCAGAGTCGATGGATTTTTGGCTGACTACAACTCCGATTCCGACTCCGGCTTCAAAAATCGACTCCGACTCCAACACCAGCTCCAACTCCGACTCCGTACGGTTCTATTAAAATCCATAGCTTGATATTGAAGTTCATAATGAAGATGTTTTTATCTTGCTTGAAACGATCTTTTGTGCGTTTCAAGGTTTTGCGTTGCAAATATGCATTAAAAATAGCATGCAGAATTAAAAAGCAGGTTCTGAGGAATTCGCCGTTTTCTGCTTCTTTCGCTGAAAACGTTCGTCCAAAACAGCAAAATGGTCTTTAAATCGAAATCTAATTTCAAGCGTAGCATCGTCAATCAAACAGGTGCAGGGCATGACGTTGAGCTTAAGTCGGACTCCGGAGTCGGAGTCGGTAAATTTTGGTGACTTCGACTCCGGGCAGAACTGTCGACTCCGACCGACTCCAACTCCAACTCCAACTCCAACTACAACTACAACTCCGACTCCGCAGCCTTGATCACACGTGTTCTATCATTCAGATACCCGTGGCCATTTTCCATTCACAAACCCACAGTCGTGTCCCTATTCAGATCTCGGCGGTGCCAGCAGCCAGCACGTGGCCCCGGCCGGGCGACCCCCCCCCCCGTCCCCGCCCGGGCGCGGTGCCGCGCCGTGGGCGGCTCTGGCACCCCTCCACGGCAAGCCGCCCCCGCCGCCGGCCGGGTGCGCTCACCTGCGGTATCAGGAAGTCGTACACGGTGGTCTGCATGGGCGCCGACTCGGGACTGGTGGCCGGAGAGGCCTGCTCCAGGCTGGCAGAGCTGCCGCCCTTGCCGCTGTCGCTGGAGCTCTGCGCCGCCACCGGCACGGGGACACACACAGCACGGTCAGTGCGGAGTCACCCACTAACTCACATCGGCCGATACCGCCACACACAGCACGGTCAGTGCGGAGTCACCCACTAACTCACATCGGCCGCCGCTGGAGCGGGATTAGACGGACTTTCTCGCCCACAACGTGAAAGGAAGCTTAGCGGGAAGACACGAGTGTACAGCCCCAAACGTACGGACCATTGAAAATGATACCAGCGTCATCAAATATTGGTTCCCCTTAACTTCCATCTCCAAACAAAGATGTTGCGAGTGCGACCAAAGCAAACAATGACGCAATGTTTGCAATCAAACATTGCAGCCTGGTGGCCGACGACCCGCGCCGTTCGTCCACAAACGGGGGCGTGGCGAGGTGCTGAGACCGCCGCCCTGTGCCCCGTTCCCGTCCCGCCGCCCTGCGCCCGTCCCCGTCCCCGCCCCGCGGACCGCAGCCCCGTCCCCGCCCCGCGGACCGGTGCCACCCTCACCTCGCTGGCCGTATCGGCGCCCGTTTCGGCAGCGCCGCCCGCCGGTGGCTCAGCCGCCTCGGCGCCGGCCGCCGCCGCCTCACCAGAAGGCTCCGGCACTGCCTCGGACTGCTGGGTGGCCTCCTGGGCCGCCTCCGGCTGCTGAGTGGCCTCCGGGGCCGCCTCAGACTGCTGGGTGGCCTCCGGGGCCGCCTCAGACTGCTGAGTGGCCTCCAGGGCCGCAGGGGCCACGGCGGAGACGGCTGGAGCCTCCGAAGAGACGGTTGGCGCGTCCTCCTTGGTTATGGCCGGCTCCTGAACGGAATCCCGCGGCTCCTGACCGTTCGTCTGCGGCTCCTGACTGTTCGTCTGCGGCTCCTCCGACTCTGTGACCGCATCTGTCTCCGCTCCGGCGGGCTCCGTCGCCTGGGCCGGCGCGTCTCCGGCCTCCGGCGGCGGCTGTTCTCGCTGGGAGGCCGGCTGGATGGCCGCCTCCAGTGCGCTGAGGGCGTCTCCCTTCACCGCCGGCTCCGGTGCATTATCATCCGGCTGGGAGCGAGCGGCCTCAGCCGGCTGGGCGGCCAGCGGCGCGGCCCGGACTGCGGCCGGCTCCGGCTCTGCGTCTGCGGACCCCCCGGCGGGGGCTCGGTCCGGCGCCGGCGGCTCGGGCGGGTCCGAGTCAGAGCGTCCCCGCCGGCGCAGGTACAGGCAGATGGCCACCACGGTGAGCACTGGCAGCGTCACCAGCAGCAGCGGACGGCCCGACATAGCGGCGACCCGGCGCTCTGTCTGCCGGGCAGACGACCGCGGCAGACCCGTCAGAGCCCAGACTGGACGTGCGGTCAGCACTCAGCGCTGAGACTGGACCAGTCAGCACTGAGACTGGAAACATCCGGTACTGAGGCTGGACATAGCACTGAGACTGGAAACATCAGCACTGAGGCTAGACATAGCACTGAGACTGGAACTAGCAGCACTGGGGCTAGACACAGAGGCACTGAGACTGGACACATCTACACTGATATTGGACACATCAGCACTGGGACTCAGAGAGACAATAGATAGGTACATCAACAGAGACTGGATAAATCTGCATTCTGCAATGATTGAATACTCAGAAACTGTCCTTGAGGTCCCTAGCTATGCTGTGAAATGGCCGATGGCTGGCTGCACTGAAACAACTCAGTGAAAATATATGAAGCTAAGTTAGGTTGCCATGATAATGAACCACAAAGTGATGCTCTAATGCAGTGTCCCAAAATTGAGTTTTGTCATGGGTGTCAGAGGGGAAAAATACCCACCAAAATGGGGGGGGGGGGAGGTAGAAAACTGCTGATTCGATTAGATCTAAAAGGAGTGAGAAACAACAAAAACATGTATTTTATTCTAAGGTGTAGAATGTTTGATGCTAAACCTGGCATCCACACAACTGCTCCTGGTAAAAAATCCTAAGTTTTCTTGGTTGGGAGTGGACAATTATTCTTAAATATTGGTAGTAAGAGTGAAAAATGAATTTAATTTGGATGTCGTTTCCCACCCAAATCGACAAATTTTGGGACATTGCTCTAATGAGTTAACAATTGTATTGCCATTGAGCTTATAGTTTTATCAAAATGAAGCTCATGAACAAAATTTAATAAAATCACTTGATGGCTTATTTTGCACAGCTATGTAACATCTTTAATGCTTTTTATGAGTGTTTTTTTTTTAATTTCAGTGTAAGCAGAGAAAACATTAACTACTATCAGCTATGTCACACAAAATGCAAAATCATATTCACATGAGCTTGATGATCAGTCAAGCATGCTTCTCAGTTGAAAAAAAACATTATCACTAAGAAAAAAACAAGCTGAAACTTCCTAAAAACTTCCTTAACTAGGTGCCCTAAGGCTGGAACACAGCCTTCACTTATGCTGATCACTTCTTCCTCCTCTGATCAAAGATTTATATACAAGACATACCTATGTACCTATTTTTCTCCGAACGCTAACACTTTGAGATGGGACCTCAAAGCCAGGGCCTATGGGTTGAAGGTGAAAAATATGCCATGCATTTCAATGGAAATGGAGGTAGCAAGACTGACTTCCATTTCCATGCAAGGAAGCTGTGTTCCAGCTTCACGGACTGAGACTATCAACTATGGAAGATTGCCAGCTCACCTCTGCAGACTACCTGAACATGAGAGGCTTGAGAATTTCCTCTTAAATGCTTAACATTAAAGCATCATGATATACAGCAATCCAGCCTCTTGTCAAGCAACACATTTTATTTGTTAAAGGGACCCTCCCACCTTCAAAAAAGTTTATGAATTGGCATGAAAGTGATGTCGCTCGGTTCAGAAAGAGCGAAAACGAATATCTACCAAATTTCACCGAAAAATATTCACCGGTTTTCAAGATATTAGACTTTTACTTTTGTTTACTTTTTTGGGATCTCCGCTGTTTCTAGCGACTTTATTTTAGAAGTGCGGCGTTTGCGGCAGATGTTGCGCGCAAATAGCATATACCACCGCGTGCTACAAAACGTTTTAGTCAAACATTTAAAAATCGTTAGATATCTGCGGTGACGTCACACATTCAGAGGGGTATTCCTAAGCATTAGCCCCTCTGAATCAAAATGCTGCAATTTTGAAATTCAATATTTCCGATTTAAGGCATTTCTCGATGTTGTGAGTGCCGAAACCGGTAATTGTGAGCCAGGGACCCCATTTTGGCTATCTCAACTCAAATCTAATGTTAAGGTGGGAGGGTCCCTTTAAAATATATTCAATCGCTATTCTCAACATATAAGCACGAACGCAGACAAATGTGGCGGATTGCTCCGAGCGACATGACAGCCGCTGCCATAAATATGGATACTTACAAGTCTTAAGTCACGTTTATTGTGCTTAAGTGCAGGCCGTGACTAACACTCGTCAGGTTTATCCGACTCAATCGATATATAATTTAGCTAAAAATAACGATTGTTTTGGTACACCATCCACACGTGCACCACACTCCGCTTCCTGTTCTTTCCCAAGCCCGCAACTTAAACTGCGAAAAATGATTATTAACTATGAGATGTGTATCTCCCCAAAAAAATGTTTTCTTTTTTTGAAATTTGAAAACAAAGACAAAATGTCATGAAATTCAAATACCATTATAAAAACATTTATTTTTAGTTTGTTATAAGTCGTGCTGACATTTCAAAACGGCGCACAAGAGACAGCAATCAACTTGAACGTATTTGAAAAGAAAAATCAGAATAGTAATTGACGTCATTATTTTCATACAGCTTTGAGCTCATTGTCTTCCTGTAAACTGATTTTGAAGTTCTAATAAGAACCCATTTCTTATGAAAATCTGAATAAAATGGACAGTGAACCATCTTGCTGCTTCATATTCCTCCACTTGTTGCTGATTCGCTAATACCCATATCGAATCGGGAAATCAAACTCCTGCATCCGATGTATGGGCAAGCCAATCTTTTTTTGTTTCAATTAATTTCATTAATAAATGGAAATTTAAAATTTTAATAATGTTTCAAAATGGTCAACCTTTTGCACACGTTTTTTTGCGAAACCATTTCTTCCTTTTTTATTTTATAAAAAATATTATTGACGTCATCAAAAGAGTTAGCATTTTCACCATAATTTTCACATTCTCAGCAAGGTTTTGTATTTATAGTCACCGTGGGTTTTGTTTTACTTTCAACTATAATATTGTGTCATACATGACAATATTACAGAATACAAAAAATTGATTTCTCTTCAATTCGTTTCCATTTTTGTGCTTTTACTGTCTGCCTGACCTGCCAATATTGAACGCAGTTGCTGTATTTAGAGGGATTTCTTCTACTCTAAGTAGATTGGTACCTAAGCATAGGTATTTTAAGTCAAGTCAGCACAAACTGTCAAAGTAGGTAGGTAATATATGGCGTTTTTATTTTCCAGATTCAGTCAGCTGGCCCCGTACGATGGCGCTAGTAGAGCCATTTAGATATACATCAATATATAGAATATAGATATAAGTACGGAAGTAGATGGATACCTATCAACGTGTTTACCTTGCATTTAGCATCAGGAAAATGAGGTATAATTATCGGTATTTGTGTCAAGATAAGGTCCGATCTACAATTGTGGTGCTGTTGATACTAATATGAAACAGCGGAAATTTTAGGTTGTTACCTGTTACCTAGGTATCTGGTATCACCAGTAATTATTTGGTATTGCAAGGACTATTTATGCAATAAGTCATTTTTAGATTGCTTTTGCTTCATTAATGGCTCTTCTACTATTTGTCATGTCCATTGTTTACAGTGTCAGCCTAAAACATTGAATCATCCCAGTGATCCAGGATAATTCTCCCTGGTTATCTATATGTTGAACACACACTAAATGGCACTGATACAGAAATTAGTAGGTAGATATTAAGTCCTTTATGTATATGCATCAATAACTAACAAGCTCTGCTAGTGCCATCATAAGGCACCAGCTCGCCAGCCAGCTGACTGAATCCAGAAAATAACAAGGTCAGGTAAATGCTGCAATGGCACTTTTTCATTTTTGCTTATAATTTCGGACAATTATTGGCTCAAGATTGTGGTGAGATTACGGATAGTTAGTTTGAGCTAGAAATTGTCGGTCAGCATGACTTTATGAGTTGGCTTATTATTCTTACTAAAAATGAGTTTTTCTACTGAGTGATGTCCATGTTACAGGAATTAACTTTACAGATTAATCACTTTCATTTCCCTATTTTATACTTTAATTGCATATTTGATTTCCTTTCATTATTATTTAGTGGCTAATTATTGATAAATGATGACCAACTAAGATTTGTAATCTTCCAGTAAGGTACCTCACTTAGTGTGGTGTGATAGGTATACCAACATGACACCAACTTCAAAGGTTACATAGCTACCTTCAGCTTTAAAATGGAAGATGGGCATAGGAAACTACTACCTACCTAAGTTTATGTCACTAATAATGGAGGTCTTTAAATGGCCCAGGTTGTTGAGTGCTGATCAGCATTGCCCTCCCACAGAGAGTGTTCCTGATGTCTGCCTTGGTGCCGCGGGCGGCCGGCTTGGTGCCCCGGCTGGCGGGTCCGGTCCGGCCCGGCTCCACGGCGGCAGGCGCCGCTCCGACGTTCGTCAACAAGAACCCGCGTAACCTGGAGCGGATGCGGCTGGCGCGCAAACAGGAGGGCTGGAGACTGGAGCCCGAGAGCCGGATGTACTGGCACAGGTACGGCATCGGTGGCCCGACCGACCGACACCCACCGGACTCCTTCGGTTGTGGTCTGTGACCTCATGAATATGTTATCCATGCTGTGCTATGGTACTGATGTGGAGATCGTTCAACTGTTCCCGGCCATCCCGATGTGGTCTCGTTATATATTTGCCATTTACATGCCATGTACTCGATGTTTTTCTGCCGAATCGTTTGTTATCATCGCGCGTAGCCGTTTGGTATTCCAATGGTCAACACCAGTCGGGATCAGATGTGCTTCCTACATCTTATGATCTTACCCCACGTTCGATGTCTCTCGGACGGCAAACATTCTACGTCGGACGGCCAATCACGTTCCATAATCGCAGCCGAGCTCCCGCTGACCTTGAACGGGATTGGCCGGACGACGTAGAATCTTCGTCGTCCGAGAGGCATCGAACGCGGGGTTAATTTCCCAAGAGGGACACGTAATCCTAACTTTGTATGTCTCTGTAATAATTGAATGAGGACTTTACTCCACAAGAAATCGTTCGGGTCTTGTGGAGGAAATTCCTCATTCAATTATTAAGAAATCGTTCGGGTCTTGTGGAGGAAAGTCCTCATTCAATTATTACATTAGCAAACTCCACATCATGTCCTTCAGTGAATTTGTATGTCTCTCTTACATAGCGCCTCTCCACTGACCTGGCATACAGCAGTGTTCTGAATAACATCTCCTATTGGCGGTATCCCAGTTTGCGCTGTAGGTTATGGAATGCGTCGTAACCTTCTTACACTGATTACCCGTTGGCTGTCCCGTATGTACCTATTTGGACCGCAGCTGCCCGGCTCCGTCTCCCCGGTCCGTCCCGCTGAGCGACCGCCCCGCTCGGCGCCGACAGGGCCGTGTTCGAGGCCACCAACCGGCACACGTCGGCGCACGTGGAGCACCAGGCCGGCCGGCGGCTGGCGTCGGCCTCCAGCCGCGAGCTGTGCGTGCGCCGACACCTGTTCTCGGCGGTGGACGTGTGCGCCGCCGAGGCGGTCGGCCGCGTGCTGGCGCGCCGCTGCCTCGAGGCCGGCATCACCGAGCTCGAGTTCCCCACCACCGAGGAGCAGCTGGAGCGATCCAACAGGGTACGTACGGGGGCCGGCGAGACGGCGCCAGTGGGTACGGGTCACGGCGGCTGTATGTATGTATGTATGTATTGACGATCAAGAGCAATCCACAATCGGCGTGGCGATTACACTCCGGTTCTGAAAACTCGCATCCCCCTGAATTACCCTGATAATTCGAGCTATTTGCAATAATGCCAGACGACTTAGGCACAAAAAATATGGCATAAAGACTTGCGCAGAACTATGGGCTAGACTGACGTCGTTAGTGTTGAAGGCAAATTGTCCCACCCTTTCGCCTATCCAGGGTCCCGTCCGCAGCTGTCCGAATGGAAGCAGCTTTGTGTCGATACACGTTTAGCGGGCTGTCGCCAGATGTTGCTTTTGCTTGAAGCTGTGGCTGAACATGCAGTTTTCGGTGCCCCTTGGATAAATTTTAACAGAGTTCGGAGTCCGCCGCTGAGTACCGGGCCGACAGATGTGTAGTGTGACGCCCGGGTAGCGTCCCACTGAACTGTGCGTCTGCCGGCAGCTGCGGTCCTTTGTACGCGCGATGGAGGAGGAGGGCCTGAAACTGCAGGAGCCGCCCGCCATCAAACCCGAGCCCTGGTGGAGCAAGGACCGCCAGCAGAAGCCGTGGCACGTGCCCGAAGAGGAAGTGGTCGGATAACGACGGCCGACTGCGTCCCAATAGTGATATGTCGCGAGTGTCCAGTGAGTCGCTGTAATTGTACACATTAAAAATGGTCATATGTATTGGAACTTTGGTGCGCACACGAATTGCAATTCAACAATGATCGTCCAGAAATGTTTATGGCCTGGATTTGAAATTAGATAAATGGCCAGCTGTGCCAGCCGTATAGAATCATCGCTCAGATCAAAACGCAAGCACCCAGCCAACGTTTGTTCACTAACAAGCTCGCCCCCATCGTGACCGCGCAACCAACTCAACTTTCTGACATCGCCGCTAAATAACCGCACAACGTGCAGAAAGACGGTGCCCCTGTCCTCCCCAGCCACTGACCATGGCTCCCCGGCCACACAGCAGCCCGCCCTCCCCGCACAGCGTGCAGAAAGACGGTGCCCCTGTCCTCCCCAGCCACTGACCATGGCTCCCCGGCCACACAGCAGCCCGCCCTCCGTCGGCACCACCGGACACCCTCTGTCTCAGTCTCTCCCGTGCCGCCGCCGCCGCCGCCGCGGTACCGGCGGACAGCGACAGTTCCCGATCGAGGCTTTGGACGGTCCTCCGCGCCGGCTCACACCACTCGCCGCACCTCGAAGAACCGCTTGAGGTAGTACACCTGGCCCATGGTCATGGCCACCAACACGAGCGCCTCGAAAAAGGACCAGAGCACGACGCGCGAGTTTGTGCTGTCGTTGATGGCGCGGTGGATCTTCTCGCGCACCTCCATGTAGTCTTGCTCGTGCTTGACGGCCGTCAGCGCCGACCCCAGGTCCTTGATCATGTCCTCGAGCTTGTTGTGGCTCGCTGAAACGGACAGACAGCACAACGTCAAGAGTCAACCTCTCGCTCCTCGACAGTGACCTCGAAGACAACGATGAGCCCGTGTTCCAACTATACGACCATAGCTGCAGACGACCTGGGTTCACAATGGCTCCAAGCATGACATTTTTACATTAACTTCGCACATTCTTTGTGAAGCATTACCTACACCCGAAATTTTATCGTGACGATAAAAATGATCTAAAAAAAAAAAATATAAATACGCTCGGTTTGAAGTAAACGCAAAAAGCTTTCTTAGTCATTCGATATCCAGAGCCAACAGTGCAGTATGCAACTATGAAAATGCTTCGCGGTGCCAACTCGAGACCAACCACCCTCCCCTCCCACCTACGCCGGCGAGGGATGACGCCGAGGTCAGGACCATCATGATTCGTCACTATCCTTCAGTCTGCAGTAGGTTTCCGCAACATCAAAACACATTCTCGGGTCTTCCGAAGCTGTAGTGTAGGAATCGCCGCAATAACCCACCCCGTTTCGAGCCGTCGAAATCGACAGCAGGTTCTGCACCCAGCGCGGCTTCAGGTCTTTGCGTCATACATACCTTCGCCGTCGACTCCGTCTTTCTTAGACGCCTCCCCGAGGTCCATGGAGAACATGACGATCTTCGGCGTCATGGTGGACATCTTGTTGCCGAAGCAATAGGTGAACACGCCGTCCATGTGAGCCGGGAAGGTGAACCTGCCATTGCTCTCCCGCTCCTGCTGGTACACCACCTTGCCGTCGGGCCCAATCAGCTTGATGTCAATGTCCAAAAAGCCACCCTCCACCACCTCAAATGCGAGACCTGTGAGAGAGAGAGAGACAATGTGTCGATTAAATTGATAAGGTTCCAGGATCCCAAATGTTAACTCTGTTCCCAGTCCTGTGATGTATTTCTGAGTGGTCAGTTCAGGTGACACTAAATGTGCACGCACAGGCCACAGTTCCAGTGTGGCAAGAATGCCTCCACATCTTAGAGATGACAGAAAGGAGAGACTGGATGCATGGTGTCTACACATGATCACAGTTCTTTACATATGGACATGTACAGTATGTCTAAAAAGAATGTACCGTCGCCACTACGTGGCGCTGGTGTCGCGAGCCGGTAGTTGGCTGAATCCGCACCAGACCACACATTCCCAAGCGCTAGGTGACAGCTGCGCAGCGGCCGGTAGTAGCGTAAGCCCGAACCTTCGTGACACGACCCCGTGGGGGGGGGGAGAGGGAGGGGAGCGGGCGGGGCAGCGCGTGCAGGGAGGGGTGCTCCGGCAAGCTGGCAGTTGTCGCGGCCAAAGGTCAAGGGGTCACACACCAAGCGAACGGACGCTGATGTGGGTTCGTGGGGATCGTGAACTTGTGCCTTGCGATGCACGGGTGATACGCCATGGGTCTAAGCCAAATGATTCGGGGGAGAGCTGAAGAAAAATCCCTACCTGGTCAACTACGGCGAATAATGGTGCTGAAAAATGGAAAGTATGGGTCAATGCAAGCCTTCATGACTATCAACTTTTCTGAGGACGCAAAGGCCAGCATTGAATAACGATATCCGGATCGAAATTAGCAATGATTTATAACCAGTAAAACGCCTTTTGGGCGAAGAACGAGCGAGCGAGATAGTGAGCCCTGCACGTGCGGAAGGGCGAGAGGGTACTTCCAACGGGCTTGCGCAAAGCACCCTTCTAAACGGTCGCTAGCGGTGTACCAAATTTGAACGCAATCGGCCCAGCTGTTCCTGAGATCTGGAAGCGGCATTCTGCACGTGCGCACGTGCAAACGGGGTCCAAAATGACTTTCGCACGGCACCCTACTAACCGGTCCCCAACCGTGTACCAAATTTGTGCGCAATCGGCCCAGCCGTTCTCGAGATCTGGAAACGCCCCCTGCACGTGCGCACGTGCAGTAGCACCCTAACCGCAACACATGGGAATGCATTGCCTGGTGGGTGCCTACCTGTATGCCAAGTTTCAGCGAAATCGCCCCAGTAATTACCGAGTTACTGAAATGGGAACAAATTTGGCACCTCTTATTGTTGTATTTTGCACGTGCAGTGGGGGTCACTCACATAGATGAAGAGTATCCGACCTTTGGTAGAAGGGATGCAGCTACCCTATAAAAATGACCGCAAGACAATCGCTCAAGCCGCTGCTGAGATATGGGCCTCTCAAAATCATTACTTTTGCAAAACTGCTTGAACACCCTTGACTTTTCACGTGGCACGTGCCACGGCGGTCACTGAGATGTATCAAAAGTAGTCAATTACGGGGTAGAAGGGATGGGGCTACCCAGCAAAAAAGACCGCAGGCCATTCGGTCCAGCGGTTGCTGAGATATAAGCCTCTCAAAAGCGTTACAGGCCGGGCCGGGCCGGGCCGGGCCGGGCCGCTCATACTGAGATTTTTCCGTTATATTGAAAAGACTTCGCTTCGCTCGCTGCGCTCGCTCGCTCGTAACTATGCCCTTGTAGTGCAAGACTGAATAATGACCAGTAAAACGCCTTTTGGGCGAAGAACGAGCGAGCGAGATAGTGAGCCCTGCACGTGCGGAAGGGCGAGAGGGTACTTCCAACGGGCTTGTGCAAAGCACCCTTCTAACCGGTCGCTAGCGGTGTGCCAAATTTGAACGCAATCGGCCCAGCCGTTCCTGAGATCTGGAAGCGGCATTCTGCACGTGCGCACGTGCAAACGGGGTCCAAACTGACTTTTGCACGGCACCCTACTAACCGGTCCCCAACCGTGTACCAAATTTGAGCGCAATCGGCCCAGCCGTTCTCGAGATCTGGAAACGCCCCCTGCACGTGCGCACGTGCAGTAGCGCCCTAACCGCAACACATGGGAATGCATTGCCTGGTGGTTGCCTACCTGTATGCCAAGTTTCAGCGAAATCGCCCCAGTAATTACCGAGTTACTGAAATGGGAACAAATTTGGCACCTCTTATTGTTGTATTTTGCACGTGCACTGGGGGTCACTCACATAGATCAAGAGTATCCGACCTTTGGTAGAAGGGATGCAGCTACCCTATAAAATTTACCGCAAGTCAATCGTTCAAGCCGCGGCTGAGATATGGGCCTCTCAAAATCACTACTTTTGCAAAACTGCTTGAACACCCTTGACTTTTCACGTGGCACGTGCCACGACGGTCACTGAGATGTATCAAAAGTAGTCAATTACGGGGTAGAAGGGATGGGGCTACCCAGCAAAAAAGACCACAGGCCAATCGGTCCACCGGTTGCTGAGATATAAGCCTCTCAAAAGCGTTACAGGCCGGGCCGGGCCGGGCCGCTCATACTGAGATTTTTCCGTTATATTGAAATGACTTCGCTTCGCTCGCTGCGCTCGCTCGCTCGTAATTACATGCCGAAGTAATAGCGCTGCAAAACCCACCTAGTAAATTGTCAAGTCGGATTCATACCGACTTGAATTAAACTATCCTAAATCAAATTGTATATAAGATCTTTATGCTTTGACCAGCTTCGTGACCTGACGGGCTGTGACCTGACCTTGACCCGAGGTTAACACCTTAACTTGATCTCACCCGAAGAAAAAGTATACCATTCGACACGCCTGAGCTAGACAAACACGATGCTGCTAAAATCGATGTTTAACGAAGTTATTTACCAAAAACCGAACCTGTGCCTTGGGCCACTTGACCTAACCTCAGAAGTCATCGGCTGATCCTAGTCCTTAAAGGAAACAGTCCACTTTTCTGAAATCAGTATTTTGCTATTGATTTATGATTTTTTATGCTCAAAATAATCATGAAATAAAATAAAACCTTTTTGTAAAAACAATTATTTTCTATATTTTAATTTAGGACGAACTATATTCTATGTAAAATAATGTTTGACGCGGAAGCTTATTACGCATTGACCAATCATATGGCGTAGCTCAAACCTACGCATACTGCATTGGCTGTAAGCAGCACGCTGATTGGCTGACGATGACGTGGCTGCATTCCTGTGCAAGGCACGCATTCCTCTACAAGGCACTCTTTTCGGAACGAGAAATGGAATATCTTCGTCTAGGGTGATCGTTGAGCCGTAAAAGCTCCTGATTTGTGCTAGTCTCAGCTCAAGCTACGAAACTGCTATTCCAGCTCAAAACCTCATGTTAAAAGTGAACTATTTCCTTTAAAATCGGAGACCAATCGCTGCATTTCGTAACGACGCGCACGATCGTTTCTTTCGTGAGGCTCTAGCTCATTAAGGGGCGAATCGGCAAAGGGGGTTGTTCCCTCACTTCCAACCCCCAACGCCCCTTCGGTATTCAGAAAACCTGAAGGTCCGGTGAGGGTTAAAACGTTGCTCCTGAACGAGGAAGAAATGTAAAAGTCAAAGCTCTATAGACGTCCTGTAAAAGTGGCCATAATAAATAAATTGGTTAGAGATACGATGCTTTTTAAACGACTTCCTCATATAAAATCGGGTGCTGGGACCAATCTTATAAACGCTTCAGAATGGACAGGGCGTCACTGGCTAAAGTTTGGGTGCAGAAAACGGCTATTAAATGCAAAATGGTTTTCATGCATTTCAGTCAGTTGTGTATTGACGTCCCAGTGGCCGAGCTAAAAAAAAGTTTGGTATATAGTGTTTTGCATCTTTTACGCCCTAAGAAACTACACCATCTATTGAAGTGGGCGGGCTTATTTGAATGGGAGGGCGCATTATGCGTCAATCGTGTGCTTTCGTTTGTTTTGGACTGTATTTTACGACATCCACTGCTGGTATCACTTTTAATATTATCAAATGCCGTGAATACGACAGCATTCCATTTATAAGATTGGGCCAATGGAGTCGCGCCCTGCTAGCTCGGTTTTCCGCTCGGCCGCTACGGGCCGAGGAAGTCGGTCTTCGCCTGAGGGCAGGACGGAGGTCAGCGAGGGAGCGCGGGGTCAGCCAGGTATCGCCCAGTGCCGAGCGGATGCCACTCCCTCCCCTCTCTTCCCCTCTTCTCCCCTCCCCACCTCGGTATAGATGGGGAGGGACCGAACTGCCAATGACATGCGAGCGGTCAAGGCCGCTCGCGCGGCAGCGACCCTGGCGGCCGGGTGCCGCAACTGGGATTCAGCCAAGTTACCGATTCGCCTCCTGTGGGAGAGCCAAACCAGGGGACATACTTTTTAGACATACTGTACACCATTTTCTTCAGTATTCTTCAGAAAAACATTGCTAACTAATGATTTCACTGGAACCTAACAAGCTAAAAGTAATAGACAAAATGGTGATTTTCTGGTATTAAAGAGTGGGTTACATCCAGTAAGGGACAACAGTCCGTGGATGCCTTTGAATTGGGGTTGATGGGAGATTTGAACTTGGGACCTAACTAATAGCCATACAGTTCTGCTTGTGAAATGGGTAAGAGCTGAAGGGTTAAGAGGGTAGGGTATGGGTAGGCTAGTGTAGTCATTATTAGGGCAATTGATATATCTAATCCTAACTTAGTAAGAAAATAGCAACAAATGATTCATTATTGACAATTTTTGTCAAATCTGGAGTAGCAACTTACTAAGTCTCTGCTTTCACTAGCTATGGTTGACTTATGAAATAATACATAGTGTGATGTAGTTAGTGCCAAACTACGACTGTAACCTGTCAACACGTATGAAATAAACGTTATTTCTCCCAGACTGAGACAGTCCCAGATTAAGATGACCATGTCATTCATGATATTATAAAAATGTGAAAATTATTGGCAGGCTAAAAGCAACACCAATAGCGTTCAACTGTTAAATTTGGTTAATTATATTGATAATTAACTCACCAAGCTTTGTACCAGATGTTACTTTCTCCATGAAGCATTCCTCAGCATGCGCGTCAACAGTAATCATATAACCATCAGACGGGTATACCAAGGCAAGGGTAGTTATAATGGCAATGATGCTCAGCATCTTGAATGAAAGATAATGGAGACCCAGATATTATATTACGCTCCCACCCAGCAGCCGGCCGTGATAAACAAATATCAACACAGCTCTCGGTATGGGTAAACAGGGTGTATGGCGCACTAAGGACATGTATGGCGCGTTTCCCTTCAATCGGTAAGGGAAAACGTGAAGGATTTGCGTACGTAAGTTGCTGGCGATCAGCAGTCGGAAATTCGTGAGTCCTCGGAAGTTGGGTTGCTTCTTAAGTTGAGCAACACCATATATTCTTGTTTTTCGAGCAGTCTAAGCTCTTGTGTTTGCAATAGAGTTCGGAAAGTAAGAGCATCTATGCATGCGCATCTGTCATAGGGTGTTCACTTTAAAGTTAGTTTTAAAAATCCTACGTGTGATAAAAATTAAGCCAAAAGTAACAACTTAATCTAAGCAGCATGTCGCTTATCGATCACAGCATAATTATTAAATCGGTGCAAGTGGTCAAGACCAAATCGTCAAGACGGCACAGATAAGGTTTCCCTTCATTCGTCAACGAAGGATTTGGCAGCAAAAATTACGCGTCATTTTAGGTTCAGCAGACTAAAAATCGATACAAATAAAATCGAGAGATTCACAAGGCATTTGTCTTCGATTTGTCTTTTTATCATTAAATGAATTTTAACAGTCTTCGGTCTCAAAAGAGGAAAAATAAGATATGTTTCAAACAAAAATAAAATAAAAATGTTGAAATGATGGATGCTTTCACGATTTAAACATGGCGGCCTCCATAAACTTCTTTGTCAACTGCGGCGCCTGCGTGACTAAAACAAAAAACAAATATTGTGTTGCGCAAGGTGTTGCGTGTTGCGAGTTGGTGTGAGGCGGTGTTTGAGAGAATTGCCACTTGTCTATGTTATTGCAGAATAAGCTTAGCTCGGTCATAAGTGCTTTTTAGTTCAAAAATCGTTGTTTACATTAGGTAAGCATTGGACGTAGCCTATAGAGTCAGATAAGGTATATGTAGGAGCCTCTACTCTACGATGACAAAAGTTTCAAGTTTTTCATCAGTTTGAATTCCTCAAGATCAAAGCTGGATGAAAAAATGAAATGTAGTCGTGGCACTTTGACTTGTCATTATTATTGTGTTTTTTTTGCATTATTATTCTTGGGGGAGGATAAAAAACAATCAGACATTATCTACCTAACCCTTACCCACCGGCCAGTGGCCACCACTCCTTCATCCACCAGACTAGATTAGACAGGAAAAAACAAAACATTAGTAAATGTTTTCTATTTCTCATGCATAGATAACATAATACAATACTGCATGCCTACCTGAAACCCTACAAGTTACACCCACCCCTGGGGTCTCACCTCAGTCTGGTCAAAGATCACTGGTTTCAGGTTTGTCTTTGTTTCAGGGCCTCACTATGCCCGAGTACCACTACGACCAGCTGGGAACGGTGGCCGAGCTGTACCCGCTGCACAAGGCAGTGCTGACGTTCCAGCTGAACGGACGCGGCCCCGAGCAGCGCGCCCTCCTCTGGGGACGCCGGTTCGTCTGCCCCAACGGCCTGCCGCTGGCCGAAGACGAGTCCATTGATGGCGTGCTCTGCATCAACGACCAGGTGCTCTTTGACTGTCATATATACGACAACGAAAACAACCAGGACCGGTGTGGCTGGTACGTGGCGCGCGCCGAGTCGGCGCGCCGGCCCGAGCAGCTGAGCTCGGTGGTCTCCAACGCCATGGGCACGGTGGTGGAGGTGGGCCCGCGGCGGGCGTTCGTCGAGTTCCGCCAGCCGGGCCGCGTCGAGTTGCAGCGCGCCGTGTTCGTGGCGGCGCGCTTCTTTGACCACGGCGGCCGGCTGCCGGCCGGCACCAGCCTGCGCAGCTGCGTGTACGAGGACCAGAAGCTGCACCTGGACGCGCAGCACCGGCCCGGCCAGCTGCAGGGCGCCTCCTGGTACGCGTGGCTGGCGTGGCGCGGCCAGCGGCCCGAGGTGGAGCTGGACCGCGAGCCGCCGGCCGAGGTGCTGGCCGGAGAGGAGGAGCCGCCCACCCAGCGGCCCACCGCCACGCTGGCCGACAACCTGCTGCCGGCGCTCAGCTCGGCCGAGAGCCGCGCGCAGGCGCAGCGCCGACACCAGGTCGGTCCGCCGCGCCGGCCTCCTCCCCCTCCCCCCACCCCTAGTCAGGACAGGCGTGTGTGTCTCTCACTATCAGTCTCTCTCCAGGACAAGTGGGGATACGTGTGTGTCTCACCCCCCCCCCTCCCCCGGTTCCCCCCCCCCCCCCCAGGACAAGTGGGGGTACGTGTCGTCGCTGCTGGATGCCGAGTACGGAGTGCTGCTCTGGCAGGTGGCGCCGCGACAGTACCAGAGCGTGCTCTTCCACCGCAGCGCCGCACACCTCTTCGACCTCAACCTGAAAAACTACGACCTCAGAACCGTCTTCAAAAAGGGTACGTCCCTAACTCATCAGGGAATCGCTCTTTTTCCTGAGAACCACTCTGCTTTATAAGGGTGCATGTACATCCAGCAATGTCTCTGCATTAAATTTAGCGCTCGTAGCGTTTTATAACCTAAACAAGTTGCATATGCCATATTTGAGTGTTTGTTTTGTTTTGTTTTTGTTGGGTTAGGCCCTTTCTGTCCAATGAGACCATTTCAGAGCCGGGAGGATGACAGGATATAGGGGGAGACATTGGTCTGGGCAGGCACCCTAGTGAGTCGCCGGGACTGAGCCCGTCCAGAGGACAGGCCACCCAGCCCCAAGGCACTCACTGCACCCGGCTACGGGGTGCGCTCCCTCGGGAGCAGCGGTGCCGCCCCAAGGGAGCAGCCCGCATGAGATAGAGTTGCCTGTCCAGCCCGAAGGGGGGTTGCGGCATGGAGGAGAAGGATTTCAGTATCCTGAGGATAGAAGCACGGAACGGTGCATATTTTAGTGAATTGGCTCTTCTGTATCAAGCCGTTACCGACGGAGTACGGACGGAGTACACACATGTACGACGGAGTACATTTGTGTAGTTTGCTCTCCACTTATCTCTGTGTGGTTTGTATGTGACTGAGATGCATGTCTTTTCTTTCAGGAGACCATCTCCGCTTTGAGGCCGAGAAGGCGGAGCCTTCGGAGCCTTACAAGTGGAAAGCGTACAGTGTTTGGCTGGAGGAGGCGTAAGTGCGACCGCGGGGACATCTGTCGGCGAGCGGGTAAAGTGGTGGTTCCGTACCGGGGCTGTGGCGGTGCTGAGGTAGCGTGTTTCTCATCAGTTGGGCTCCGAAGTGCCGTTCGTGCTGTAAGGATATTGACCTGGCTGTGCTGTGGTGAGGGCGACGTACGTCAGTCAGCGTCGCCTTTATCACATATTCTAGAGACCACGTATGTAGTTAGGGCTGATCCCGATAGGTGACCCCCTACAAAGTTCGCGGGAAACTGCCTATGTAGTTAGTTCAGTCCGTTCTTCGTCTCGTGCACCGCCTGGATGTTGTGCTCCGTTGGGTCGTTTTATTGCTGTGAGCTGGAGCGGAGCTGCTCCTCTAAACGTACAGCGGGACACGATTGATTTATCCGCTACTTAGCTTTCCAAGAAGGGCATTGCAGATGTTTTCTTTCCCACTTCGTACCCCAGATATGGTTAGATGTATAAGCCGGCTGAAGACAGCTGAAAGGGTCCACTTCATTGCATATCGCTCTCTCAGTCTCACTATGCTTCCTTTGCCTTATCGATCATATCATTGAAATGATTTTTGTCGCAGGTGTGAAATATAGCCAAGCTGCAACATTGTTATTAGGTACTTACTGTTAACGCCAGACCCCTTGAGACCCTAATTTTTCGCGATTACTTTTAAATGCGTGAAGGAATTTCAACCAAGCTCAGGACATGGCCGTTTCAAGACAGGCCGAAACTTTTACAATTTAGATATTTTATCGCCATTTCAATATTTCAGGCACTTGTCATTGACTCGTAATGTTAAATTTCGAGCAAGATTTTCATCCGGTGTGTAGAGGCTATCACCAGTCAGCCTGTGATACGTTATGACGTCACAGCTAAGCCCCGCCTCTGTGGTCTTGGCCTGCGGCGGTTTCGGGCCGGCGCGCGGTCACTCGCGCTGTGGCGGGGAGCGGGGGCGGGCGACGGTCGAGCGGTGCCGAAAGCCGGCGGAGTTGTGCGTAGCGTCTTGGCTGACAGTGCCCAGAGAGCGACATGATGACTAAGGAGTCATAAATGCTCAATGCGCATTGCTTCTACAATGCTGATATGTTCGCTGATATTTTTTTTTTTATATATAAGCTGCATATGACGGGTAGATGGCATATAACTGACATAAGGTTAGGAAATATTCACCTGTATTTAAAGCCTATGGCGTTGCAGATAATGCGATAATGGGATGTCGGATGTCACCAAGTAGCTGCCGATTTGTACATCGCTATGCAACCATCGAACAACGCAATAATAAGTTAATTGCCTGAGCTTCACATCATACGGCTCGCTCGTATTTCAAACAGATACCCTACATCGAAAATCGTATTTGTTAGGAATCGTTAACGTTTGTTCGAAGCACGACTCAGTAGTAGGTTGAGGAGTGATGGTCCTCTTGGTCCTATATACAAGAGTCAACAAGAGCCTAACATTTACTTGACCGTCTGCTGCAATTGACTCATAGCACGTGAAGCGTCAGCGAAATTCATAGTCCTTCACAGATGGCAGGGGTGTCGTTTGTACAGAGGTCGCTGATGGGCACGGGTCAATGCCGCAGTCGTGGGCGGAGCCTAATGTCATATGACGTAGAAAGCCTCTATCCAGGATGGAAAAACAGTTAACATTACGAGTCAATGACAAGTGCCTGAAATATTGAAATGGCGATGAAATATCTAAATTGTAAAAGTTTCGGCCTGTCTTGAAACGGCCATGTCCTGAGCTTGGTTGAAATTCCTTCACGCATTTAAAAGTAATCGCGAAAAATTAGGGTCTCAAGGGGTCTGGCGTTAACAGTAGTTTTGTTTCCTGAAATTGCTGTACGTTTTTTTATCACAGACACCTAAAAGGGAAAGGCTGTATGCAGATTTTACAGTTCAGTTGTCTTTGATTGAACGGTCCTGAACTGGTTGGTGTCCATGGCTGAACGGCCCTGGACCCTGAAAATGTGGCTGGTATCACAGGATCCGGCTACGGCCACGCCAGCTCGTTCAGAGAAATCGCGAAAAAGAGAACGTCAGGGGCGGGTTTCCTCAGCCGGGGAGGACCTGGGTCGTTTTTTTTTATCAGATCAGCGTTTTGACATTACAGAGAACAAAGTGAACGTTCTAACTTTAGATAGACGGACGCGCTTACTAAGGATAACAGTGTTGTATGTAGTCCAGCTGAACCGAATCCCGAGTCCTGAGCAGCGTCAATGTCAATGTCTTTATCTCCGATGTATTCGCGGACGCGGTGAAAACGAAACCTCTGCCCGCCTTGTCTCCATCCCGCCCCTGGGTTTAATCCTAATCCCCACGAGCGCTGGCGCCGCCCGTGGCTCGTCGACTGCTGAGCAAACCATGAGCAATGAGCATGCCTACAATCTACATACATAGTCCGCGGCCGGGCCGCCGGTCCCGCTCGCCTCACCACTCGCCGACACCGGAGCCGGCTGACATCCGGTCCGATCGGCGCCGGAGCCGCGCCCGATCCGCGACGACCGGCGCGGCGCGTGGCACATATCCGGCGCACCGGCGGCCAGCGGCGGCGCGGTGTCTCCAGTTACCGGCGCCGGCACGCGGCGCCTGTGCGCGGCTCGTTTGCGGCGCATTATCTGCCGGCGGCAGTCGCGGCGCGGGCGGCCTGCGTGGCGCACTCCCTCGGGTAAACCGAGCCGCGCCGCCGGTGGCGCGACCAGTTTGACTCCGAGCACCGATGAAAGCGACACGAACTGTCAGCGCGCGCACAATGGGCGTCATCACGGCGCGGGATGCGGCGGCGGCGGCCGGCCACAAAAGACTGATTAGTGCGGCCCCGCGCCCGGCTGTAAACTACTGGGGACACGGCGGTGCGCCGCTAAAAACGCAGACCGCACCGGCCGAATGGCTAATTTCAGAGATCTCCCGAGAGAGAGAGAGAGGCGTCCCCGCCGCCCCAGCACCGCCGCCGGCTGCGAGTTTATTCCCCGCGGCGCAGTAAATCTTGATCAAGTTACGATATGATTGCGACGCACCGATGGGCCGTGTTCACTGTTCAGCCATCTCTGAGGTCCGCGAACAGCGCCAAAGAAATGGCCCGGACCATCCATTGACCATACATTGAACCAATTAGTGCTACAACGACAAAGAAAGTGTTTGCTCGTTGTAATTTGTGCCAGCCGCCAGGTACTAGTTAGGTACTAGGTACTTAATATCATAGCTCAGCCATCGTAGGTAGTTCACGCTATGAGGAAGTTGAAACGCATAAGTAAAGTAATCTTGGTTGAAACGCATCCACCCAAAGTGACATTGAAGAGGGTTGTTGCACGTGCAATTATCTGCAGCCGCTCACAGCATAGGTTCCGGTCCCGCGCACGATTCGGCTATACGAGTGTAAATAGCGTCATCATGTAGACATTGTGCTCTCGATGGGCGGTGCCCTGCAGCTATTCATAGAGCTGGTGCACAGCTGATTTCGAGCGAGTCGAGCTGGAAGGCGTTTCGATATTGCTCGTTATCCTGACACTGTCTCAACCGGAGCAACCACCGCCGGCTAATTGATACCGGTGGGGCAGCAGTCTCCGGTGGGGGCAGCACGGAGCTCCACCGTCCGAACACTGTCTCTGTTGAGGGGAAGGGGAGGGGGGACAGCACGGATCCCCACCGTCCGTACACTGTCTCTGTTGAGGGGAGGGGGGAGGGACAGCACGGAGCTCTCCATCGTCCGCGCACCGTCTCTAGTGGCGTCACGGGGTACCCGGCCGTGCCTACACCCGTCACACCGGCCGTGCTCGCCCGTCAGGCGTCAGATCGACTGTGCCCGGGAGAGGTCCGTCGGCAGCCGTCAGACGGGCCGGCCGGCCGGCGGGGCCCGGCCCTCGGCCGCCGCCGCCGCCCCGACCCCCGCCGAGAGCACATGCATAAATGTGAGCGGCCCGCGCGCCGCCATCGTATTTACAACTTGTTGACGATAATGAATTATTGGTGCGGCGGCCGGCCGGCGGCGGTGTCCGGAAGGGCCGCGGCCCGGCAGGGTCGGACCGTCGGACCGTGCTGGCCGCCGGGACGGGCCGGCGCCGGCTGCAGAGGGGCCGGGCCGCCGACATAACTCAGCCGATGATAAACTCCGGCGGCGAGTGCCGTATAAACTCCGACATCATAAACACGCGCCGGCGAAAAACGCCCGCCCGTCCCCCGGCCGGCCAAGGCTGACCGGCCGGCCGGGCGGCGGACGATTCCGTAACTCACGGCCACTGACGCGGGCATCCTCTGCCGATCCGCTAATGAGGTATGCGGCAGGCGCCGCCAGGAATGTCCTCTCCGCGCCGCAACGGCCGCCGCAATAAGTCCTCCCCACATACCTGTTCCAAGTGGGCCGTGTAGCTGGCTGCATGAAAAACTCCGCTCCTCCCTCTCAATCGAGCCGATAAGTCGCACGTACCGCGTGCGCTAATCCGCGATCGCGCTTCGAATTTTTTACGACCGTGAAGCGTAATGGACCGACCACAAGAATGCATTGCCATCTCATTCATTTTCTGCACGTCTGCGGAAAAATTCGGGAACACCCAGCCGGGACTGGTTGGCAAAAAGTGCCGGCCAGACGAGCTGGAGCCGGTGACTCGCCGCCAGGACCGCTCGCGCCCGTAACCATTAATAAGCGCGGGAGGAGTATAATTAGCGCGCGCGCGCCGGACGGCGGCGATGCGCGGTATGCGCGGCGCTCGGCCGGCCGGGGGTGGCATCGGCACCGGCCAGGGCCGCAATTATCGCCTTGTAATCGCCGGTCTCGGCGTCCGGTAGCTTTCGGGCTTTGTTTACCGTCGGAGTGGGCGGCGGCGGTGGTCACAGGTGTCCGGTCGGCGCCCCGAGCGGCGCGACGGCCCCACCGGCGGCGACAGACGGCCCGTGCCGAATTGGTGGTTAGCCCGCACCGCATTCCCGCCCTGCCGCGGAGCGACTGCCGAGTAGTTCTCTCCCGGGACCGGCCGGCGCGCGGGCTGCCGCGGCTGTTTTCGAGGCCCGGAGCACAGATAGCAGTGATTAGCCGGCGCAGCTCCGTGCCGTGCCATCTGCGCTGCGCCGGCCGTGTTTTGGCCGTGACGGAGTGTGTACAGCGCCCGCCGGGACGGCTGCGGCGGGCGCCGGCCGCCCCGCCCCGGAACCTCCGGTACAAACTACCCGCTCGAGCTGCGGATGAGCGCACCGCGCAGATAACGGATGGTTCCATCAGCGGCCGGCGCCGCGCTGCAGCGCGCCGCGCTGCAGCGCGCCGCGCCGTGATTCATGACCGCTCTCGACACCGAGGGCGGCCGCCATCTGCCGTGGCCGCGCGGCCGACGGCGCCCCGCCGCGCTCACGCAGCGCGCCGCGCACGCTCTATTTCTGCGGTCGCCGAGCCGCCGCGTCCCCGGCTGCCAATTAGTCGCTGACAAATCGCGCCGGCGTTTTTGCACCGCCCGCGGCTCGGCGCCGTGACCCGCGGTGACCTCTGCGGGTCGGCGGGGGCGCCGGCGGCAGGGTCCGAGGGTGCCGGCCCGCTCGGCGACTCAGAAGGTACCCGGTCGGCGACCCGCGGCCGTCGCGACACCCGCCTCTGAGCGATGGCCGTCACCGCTCGCTCTGCTCCCTCTCCGG